TTTCCCGCAGAATCAACTGGGCCGCCACTCCCGCCGCCTCGCCGCGCTCCGAGCTCTCGCGGGCTGGGCCAAGTGGGCGGGAGGAAGCTCCAGTGTTCGCCTGCCATTGGCTGATTTCAAACGCCAACGTCTCAGTCTAGGCAGACGATTGGTCCGCTCGGGCGTCGGTCAATCCAGTCATCCTCTTCCGGCTCAAAGGCAAACCGCGGCTTTTCCGATCACGTGGTCTCGCAGTGCCGCTGAGCTGAGGCACCCCCGGCTAGTGCTGACCGAGTGAAAACTACAATTCCCAAGGAGCATCGCGCCAAGACTGGGTTTACGCCTTCTCGGACACGTGCGCGGCACGCTGGGAGATGTAGTCTCCCTGGGACCGACGTCCTTTCAGTCCTCTAAATACTGACTAGGAGGGAAAGATGCTCTTTGGGGTTCAAAGCGTAGCTCCCTCCCCATCTGAGTTAATTTCAAAGACACAAGAACCCCATTTTGGTCAATATTTCTATAAAGCTAAGTTATTCTCCCTTTCACTGGACATACATACACTCATGAAGGCAACCAAAAATTGGAATAGAGAAGGAAATATTTAATGAATTGCATTATTTTGCCCTGAGTTTTTTTCTCATTTTCCTGGAGTTTCCACCTATGAACCAGGGTCTCTCATTTCCAATGGATCTAATAGAAACTCATACATATTTATATTATGCTTTATCTCTCTATTGCATCTTTCCACAAACATTTGAGTGCCTGCTGTGTGCCAGGCCTGGTGAGCGGCTGGGAAGATGCATTAATCAGACCAGTCCTTGCACTGGAGGAACTCCCTGTCCAGCCGGGTGGACAGACCGGCGATCAAATAATTTGCAATGTGTTAAAGTTCAAAAGCTTCTTTCAGACATACGTTAAAATAGGGTCTTAAAATGCCAGCTACAAGCTTCTCCCTATCCACCTCCCCACCCCAACAACTCCCCAGAATTTTGAGCTCAGTTTGCTCCATTTTCAGTTTCTAGAATCCTCCACAAATAGAATAACCAAGAAGGTTGCCTCTGTAATAAGAAATAATTTGGTCTCCATGAAAGAAAAGCAATGCCTAATTTGTAACTAGAATGCTGTGACTCCGTTACTCTTAAACATCAAAAACACTGAAATTTTTCAAGGTAATCCATGCTATAACCTCTTTTTCACTGCCTTTTGTGAAAAAAAAAACCCTTATGTTATTATGTAACTCAGTATAAAGTGAGAGGAAATTGTTGAGGTTAAAGTGCATTACTTTTAAGGTGCATTGAATAGAGGGGAAAAGATTGGTCTTTATGCATTCACACACGCTGACGCCGGTGCACATCTTTTTCGGATTCTTGACACAATAAATGCACACACCACCACCCTTCTCCCCACTGTGTGGTAATACCGCTGCTAAAAGGTCAGATTCTTGCCCTCCCTCCTCACCAGGCCTCACACTGGGCTCTCTCTCTCTCTTCTCTTTCAACAAGTTAATGGCCAGGTTAAGAGTTTTAAAATACAGTGCCTCGCCTCCATGCTAACTTTAGCTAAATAATTTTATACCCAAATAATTTTATTTAGTTCCTTCTCCCCATTGCTTATTTAATTATATTAGTGCTTCGAGATTCTGAGCATGAATTATCCACTAATAAAATCTAAGTGTATTTCATTATCCACTGGTGTATGATTCAGGTCCCTCTGGGCATGCAGTTGCAACCAGACTCCATTTGAGTTTTAAGAAACGTCAATCTTTTAAATCCAGTTTAGACCCTGAAAGGAGGCGGATGATTTGGCTGATTATTCAAATGAATTGATGGTCATGAGATAGGAAATCTGGCCAAGATGGAGTCTTGAACATTTTAAATCCAAATGCAAAGGGGTGTGTGTGTGTGTGTGTGTGTGTGTGTGTGGTAATGCCTGTAAGAGAGAGGAATTCCTAGAAACTGATGGCACTGTTGGGCCCGGTTGTCTGCTGACTTCCCAACTGGTAAAGGGTGAATGCCCACTACATGACAAACTGTAAAGGGGTCTCGGCCCTAAAATCCCAAGGGCGAGGTTTTGCCATTCAGTGAGTACCTTGGCCAGAGGAAACCACTTCCTGTAAGAGAAACCCAAGGAGGGTACAGCGACCCAACACTTTTAAAACCATCATCTCGAGAAAAACAAGGTGTTGGCGTGCAGACAACGATGGTATGGATGGGATATTCCTATGCAAGTAGTGCCTTGAAAGCCATTTGGTTATTTCTGCATGAAATATTCAAATAGCAACTTCAGAGGAAAGGAAGAATTGAAAGTGGGCCATCTGGGAAGAGAGAAGGTCCTTGAAATAAAATAGGTGTACCAGCCCTGGCCGGGCAGCTCAGCTGGTTAGAGCATCTTCCTCATACACCAGAGATCCCGGTTCAATCTCTGGTCAGGGCACATTCAAGCATCAACCAATGAACGCATCCGTAAGTGGAACAACAAATCCATGTCTCTCCCTCTCTCCCTCTCTCTCTCCCTCCTTCCCTCTCTCTCCCCCCTTCTCCCTCCCTCTCTCAAATCAATCAGTAAATAAAAACATGTACCAAATATTTCAGAAGGAAATGGATCCGGTGCCACCTTCTCTCTCCGAATATCCCCTCTCTCCTTCTCTCTCTCTCCCTCTCCCTCCCTCCCTCTCCCCCCTTCTCCCTCCCTCTCTCAAATCAATCAGTAAATAAAAACATGTACCAAATATTTCAGAAGGAAATGGATCCGGTGCCACCTTCTCTCTCCGAATATCCCATACTTACACAGTTCTCAGCAAGCAGTAGGGCCCAGTAACTATATGTTGAATTGGACTCAATTGAAATGAAATACATGAACTGAACGGACTTGGGATCCGCAGAGGTGTTCGTGGTACCATCCTTCCGGTGTCACCTCGAAATAAATCGTGGTTTTTATGAAATCTCACGTGAGAAGAAAAAATAGGGCCTCAGCCTGGACAGGAGGCAGA